ACAACCCCTGTCCCGGGCCCTCCAGAGATCATTCACCAATGTGACCAATGCCGTTTCCGTGCTGTATCCCGGCCTGAAGCCCGACTGGAGCGGGTCTAGATAGACTGTTTCCTCCAGGTGTCGGGGAAGCTGCCACGCAACCACACTCTCCACAACCTTCGCCACAAAGCGAAGGTTGGAGACCGGACGATAATTAGCTGGCAAACATAGATGAATTCTGTAAGATCTTAATGGAATACCAGAATTATGGAAATAGCCTTTTTAACCGAGTCCCTAATAGTACACATTAGGTATAATAGCACAATAATAATTTTGGTAAATTAAATTCTTAAGATTCATCAAATATCTTATTTTTCTTCAGTGTAAAAGATTGTGCTTTATTGAAAAGTGCTTAGAAAAACCTAGCTACATTGACTGATCTCAGAAGCTAACTAGGATGAGATTTGGTTAGTTTTTGGACAAAGATCTAGAAATCTTGGGGCTATTAATTAGACTCAGAAATTGAACATATACTCTGAAAGAATTGAACACATATCCTGAAAGAAGGTAATGGCAAACTACTTTCAGAAAACTGGATGGATATAGTCACAGGATGTGAGGACAGCTCCAGGGGATTTATATCTTTTAAGATTACTGTCAGTATGTTACTTCTGCAAACATTTACTTTAGAAACTTAAATAATAATTCATAAATATTTGAATGCATAATGTTATGCATAATTGTACAAGTAACCTTAACTATTCGTTTAGTGGCTGTTCAAAGTTACAACAGTGCTGAAAAAAGTGACTTGACTGGTTTTCACATGACCGTTGTAGCATCCCCATGATCAAAATTCAGGCGTGTGTTTATGACGGTTGCAGTACCCTGGGTCATGAGATCACCATTTGTAACTTTCCTAGCCAGCTTCCAATAAGCAAAGCAATGGGGGGAAACTGGATTCGCTTAACAACTGCATGATTCACTTAACGGCTGCAATGATTCATTTAACAATTGTGGCAAAAAAGGTTGTCAAATGGGATGTAACTCACTTAGCAACTGCCTTGTTTAGCAGTTAAAAGCAATTTTTGGGAATCAAATCCAAAGCATTCCACTGCTCTTTTGGCTATTGTTAACGGTATGCCTATGATTGCTGTCCACTCTTGAGGTGTTCAGTTTTAACAATTCTTTTATGGTAATGGAGGGAAGCCATTTGACCATGCCATTTGACTAATGTTCATAACTTTCTTTCTAACATCTAGCAATTATTCCCTACTGTTAACGTGCCTTGAGCAGCGCAGAGAAAATTTGTTTCAGGAAAAAAGAACACTCTTTTCAGTCTTGAGTCTGATATTTCACTGTGATGTTCAGTAGCAATTCAAAATAGGTTATAAGTGGTGGTTTTTACATTGATCATACTGCTAAATTTGCTAATGTCTGTATATGTTTGTTAAATAAAATTGTTATTCTGGCACAGTTAAATTTGAATAAAGAATAATGACAAGCCTGCCATTTCAAAATTTGTATGGTGAACCAATGTAAGGTCAAAACATTGTCAGATTCCTCTGTCCCATTTTCATACTTTCAGGTGGCAGATCAAAGGGGAAGCTATATTCAGATTTACTTGGACTTGAGTATAGTGATGTTCAAGACCTTGCTTGATTTGGATTCATACATAGATTTGGTTAAAGTCCTGTTTATATCCAGAGAAATATCTGGATGAGACTAATGTGCAAATCTGGTTGCCTAGATCATACCATATGTCAAGGAAGAAATGAAGAAAAACAACATATCAGAGCAGACCGTAATTGGCATCATCTGGTCTAGTGTAATGAGCACTGTGGAATGGAACAAAAAAGAGGAACTCGTCGCAGAACAAGCCATTAAGCACTTGAAGGTATAAGCTCATTTATAGGATTAGCTTTTAAATATTTTTTTCAGTCTGTTGCAGATATCTATCATCCATCTATCTATCTTTTTCAGAATGTTTTGTCTGAGGTTTTCCTGAAGTAATTTTTTTTCAGAGTAATCTTGTTTTTAAAAAAGTAGACTTAATGGTATTAAGAAACTACTCCAAAGATTCTAAGATACTGTATGTTTCTTGACAATATTATTTTTTTCTTTATAAGAATTAGAAAAGGCAACTTAAGCAACTGTTAGTTTTTTAATAACTCTATTCTCCATGGCTAAGATGAAGCAAATGTTTAAATGCAAGTTAGGAAATTATTTATGACAAAGCCTCTCCTATCTTCTCAGCAATACAGCCCTCTTCTTGCTGCCTTTACAACCCAAGGTCAGTCTGAACTGACTCTGTTGCTAAAGATTCAAGAGTACTGTTACGACAACATCCATTTCATGAAAGCCTTCCCGAAAATAGTGGTGCTCTTCTACAAAGGTAATATATAACAAATCAGTCTCTTTTCAAAGCAAAAGAAGTCAATGTATAATCTTGGTTTCTGGTGTTAATCAACCAGCTCTATATTCAGGAATACATTTGGAGCCTCTTATTCCAGTAAAGTCTTTTAGGTTTATGGAAAGCTGTAGAGATTAAATAATTCATAAGCAGTACCGCATCTTTTATTGCAAGATAATTATCAATAATTTCTGTTTTGCTCTAGAGATTAATGGTTTGTGCTACGAGTTATTGCATGGGACAAAACTCAGTCAGGGGCTCTGTGAAATAAATAATAAAATTCTGTGAAAGTGACTTTTCCTTAGAGCATTTCCCCACAATTGTCCAATGTTT